GGTCATCTCAGGACCGCACAAGCAACTTGTCTGCACAGTGTTCGGGGACTAGGTGAAGAAATAGTCCATTACTCCGTCAGGGCCTGGACTTTTTTTTTATAGCCAGCATTAAAATATTCAAGACTTGAGAAGGATTCTAGTAAAATTATAATCCTATGTTTGACATCAAAATAATTTTTACAACAGCAGATTGATGACAGAAACACAGGTTTATGACTTCAGTACGAGACTGTGGAAGATCAAGTGCAGAGAAATCATTTCACAGGACCAAATGTTCCCTCGAAGCAGATGGTTTTTTGCAAAATCCCTGAGGCCTGTCGCCTCCCCTAAAATGTCTATTTTTATATCAAAATATTTGTAGAAATATTGCATCATGCACGAGACTGCAGGAGAGTAGCATGCCCCAGCCTGATTTACTCTGAGTGCTGATGATCGTGATCCTGCTGGGAGGTTACATTTCACTTTGCCTATCTCTGGTATTGCTTTTTAGGCAGACTCTTGCTCTGTCACCCTGGGTAGAGTGCAGTGGCATCATTGTATCTCACTGCAACCTCATCCTCCTGGGCTCAAGCAGTCCTCCTGCCTCAGCCTCCAAGTAGCTGGGACTACAGGCGCACACCACCACACCCGGCTAGTTGTTTTTTGGGTTTTTTCCCCCTGTATTTATAGTAGAGACAGGGTCTTGCTTTTTACTCAAGCTGGTCTGAAACTCAAGCGGTCCTCCTGTCTTGGCCTCCCAGAGTGCTATAATTATAGGCGTGAGCCACCGTGGCTGGCCCTATCTCTGACTTTTATAGCAATTTAAATACCTAGGTTTGTCCATCATGCCCGTAGTGTTGTGAATGTGTCTTTGTGAGCTTTGCACCAGCACCAAGCGACTGAGGCCCCAGCCTCAAGTCATGGAGTTTGGCAGAAATGTTGATATCAAAGGCTCTTCAGAGGTCAGTCTTAGACTCAAATAATATATGTTGTTCTGGAATCCAGGAATTTCACATAAAATGAGAGCTTTAGAGGGAAATTCAAGGAAGGAAATATAAGAGCCAGGGGCTGGTATCAAAGAAACTCTCATGAACAGGCAACCTTCCATCAGGTTATTTTATGTTTCTTTTTCTGCTTGTAGAAATATTAATGTCTCCCATTTATTGAGCACTGAGCACATGCAAGACATTATGTACATTATCTCACTTAATCTTCCTGCGGGGTGTAGACATTATTGTCCCCATTTTATAGACGAGGAGATGGAGGCCCAAGACCACAGAGCACATAGGGGTGGAGCCTCTTCTTCATCCCGGCCCTGAGTAGTTCCAGAGCTGCCCCCTTCCTACCCGAGACGTAATTGAGCTAAGCCATGTGTGGTCCCTAATTCTTCAGGCTTTGAGATGAATCTCGGAGGAATCATTGGGCTCTTCAAATTGGGTTCTTCTCTTGATCGAGTGATGGAGGCTGTGGCTTTATTGACCATGAAAACTCCCTATATTTTTATGCCTTAAGCTGTAAAATGCATTGAAAGTGAAACACTCTATAGTGCATAAAATTGTGCAAGTTTTAAGCCACAGCATATTAACCAGCTAATGGCAGACCAAAGGGCGGTTTTATCATTTGATTATTACATTAATCTTCCATTAAAATTATCTATGTGATTATCACAAAGCACTGAAGATAATAAATTTAGGAAATAGTAGTCTTGTTAAAGATCATTTTTAAATGCTTTTGTCAAGTTATATGTGCCAAAACACACTGAAAACACTAGGTTGGCTGAGTGTACAAACAATATAATCCAAAGATTGCTTTTATTAAGAATGATAAAAACCTCTTGTTTCTATACATTGTATTGTCCCAAATTGTCAGCCTGGCCCTGCAGTGCTCATGATTTATTGCTCTCAGCTGGTAACTTGGCGAGGCAGCGGCCGAGCGTGTCGGGCCTTCTGTACTCTCACACCAGCCTTTAACGCCTGCTGCTGGCCACTATCAGAGCGGAGAGCTGGGAGGGACCGTGCCGGAGCCTCGGCCCCATCCCAGCCCCGTCCCCGTGCTGCCTCCTCCAGCAGCCCCCTGCCTCTTGCTCAGAGGCGGCAGAGGCAAGGACACTCGGCCCTTAGAGTAGAGTTGGCTGACTTCTCTAGCCGGAAACGTCCAGGTCTCTAGCCATAACTTTCAGATATTTGCAGGTGAAGAGAAATGACGTTGTTCACAAGAATGCCCGGCTGGCGGGGAGAGGCGTGGTGTCTGAGGGGTGGGGGCTGGGGAGCTGGAAGGGTGTCGTCAAGGGCCTGACACCTACTAGCTTTGTGACCTTGACCAAACGACATTACCCTTCTGTGCTTTGATTATCTCACCTGTGCAATGGAGATGATAATGGCATCTGTCTGTTAAGATTGTCGTGAAGATCAAATGAGTTAATGCTCGAGAAGCACTCCGAGCAGTGCTGGCTGTTAGCATTTACCTTGCAGTGCCACTGTCCCCACTGCCCTGCCAGGAGCTCGTCCTCTGCATGGGGTACAGGTCTGATCGCAGACCTGTCCCTGGCTCCGCCCTGCTTCACTAAGCCATGCCAAGCTTCTGCACTTCATGGACACCCCACTGCTGTGCCTTGACGTTTGCTGATCCTCTCCTGCCCCTTGTACACCCAGAAACTCCTATGTATCCCTCAAAACCCCAGCTCATTCATTCCTGTGCAAGCTTTCCCTGCCCCACACCTCCCTGACAGTTCCTTTATGCTTCTGTACCTGTCGTGGCACGTGTCCTGCCATTGGATACTCACTAGGCAGTGAGCTCTTCAGGGCACGGACCAAGTCTGTCTCCTGAACTGAGGTCAGGGACCCTTTGTCCCCTGAACCAAGCATGGGGCTGGTCTTAGACATGGCGTTCACTCAGTGCTAAAATAGCTGGTGAAATGCCCGTGTGCGTGCAGTGGTAGCTGTACGAGTATGGCTCTGGAAAGATCCCAGGGGCTTGCCTGGAAGCAGCAGCCCGCAGAAGCCTGAGCAGGAGCCTGGGGGGCAGCCCCAGCTGTGCCCACTCTTCACACGGGACTTGCATGACCCCCTCACAGCTCCAAGCCTGACTTCTGGGTGCCCCAGGCTACTTTGGCCTCCTCTCTGAGCCTCTCTCTCCTTTTTGCCAAAGGCCCTGGTTGGTGGGGTGCTTGTGAGCACTGACGGAAATACCACAGCGGGAAGCTCCATGCCTGGCTGGTAGGAAGCTGAAGAGAGCCTTGTTTGATTGGTTTTGATGCCTGTGATGTTCCTATCTTCAGATGAGGAAAGTGAGGCCCAGAGAGGTCATGTGCATGCAGCCCAGGTTGCAAAGCAAGCTGGAAGCAGAACCAGGCAGCCAGTGCAAGCCATCTGGGGGGCAGCTTGTGCCAAGGAGGGAACGCAGATTCGGGAATCTGAAAAGACCGCCACTCACTGACTGAGAGGCTCATACCGGCCCCTCATCTCCTCCAAGCCTCTGTCTTCCCGTCATAAAGCAGAGTCTGGGCCCTGCCTGCCAGGTTGCTGTGGTGACTGGACTCCATCCTCAAGAGAGCACCTGGCCCAGGTTAGGGCCTTCCCTTCCTCCCCCTTCTTTGCCTTCGGCTGAGCAGTGACCAGCTGGCAAGTGACCGGGCTGTATCCTCTTGCTTTCTAGGTTAACTACATCCTGGAATCACGAGCAAGCACTGCCCGGGCCGAATATTTTGCTCAAAAACAAAGAAAACTGAATAGACGTACGAGCTTCAGCTTCCAGAAGGAAAAGAAATCCGGGCAGCAATGACACTGACCTCCAGCCTCAACCTGCTGCCATAGCTCCGCGCCTGCCTGCCAGGGCCAGGTGCCCGAGAGTCCACCCTGTGTCCTGCCGTCCTTGGGGGGAGGCCAGCCCCTGGCTCATGGGCACAGAGCTGGTGGGCTCTTGGGGAAGATGCAAGGGGGCACCCTAGGAGGGAGCGCTGGGGACCTTGCCAGGGGACCGAAGCCTGCTTGGCAATGGCTTTGATCAGCAATGCCCGGGGGCCACACACCCCCTAGAGGAGCCACGTGCTGCCCAGTCATCTTCACTGCCTGACGACCTGCCGAGGATGTACATAGCCATGCCCAGACATTTCCTTGCAACTTGATCAAATTTCGTAAAGCAAACAAAGAACAAAAATGTACATTTCTGTTTTTCCTTTTAATAAACAGGTGTACTCTTTATCATGGTTGGTATGATGGACCATTCTTTGGGGTGGAGGATTGATTATGTTATTCTCTTTAAAATCTGTTCCCATATTGAACAGGCAGATTGGAAAAGCTATGGTTCGATTTCTCAGAAGAAATGTTTAGGTCTTAGTCAATAGCTCTAACTACGCCATTTGTTTAAATGAATGCATTTGCTTTGAGGATAGCATCTTACTAAAAGTTGGGGATGGGGACTTAGTGTTGTATGTCCAAAGCTATGTCATCTTCCCCTTCCACGCATCCCAGCCCCTCTGACCAGAGCCGTGGAAGCCTCGGGCGCTGGGAGAAGGGGTGATGGCCGGCCCTCAGGTCCTGCGTGCTCCCAGCCAGAAGTGGTCTTTTCCGTTGCTTAAGTAGCAAGCATAGGTTTCAGCCGACAGTTCCACCTGCATGTGGATCTTCCTGGATTGGAATAGTCTCTGCTTCGCTGCCTTCCAAGGGGCCTCATTCCCCTTTCTCTTCTTACAGCGCTTGCCCCTGTGCAGCAGGCGGAAGCGGCTGGTTCTCACTGTGTCAGGGAGAGGCGCAGGGAGACCTGTCCCCCATCCCCGGGTGGGAACCGCGAGGGGTCGGATGCCCCGACACCACTCCTCTGGCCACACCAGATGCCTCTGCAGTCCTCGACAGCCTCTGCAGTGTACCCAGCGGTGACAGCCTTTCATACTGTCCCCAGCCAGGGCCGAGGACCAGATGTTTCACTGAGGACCTGCATTTAAAACGTTTTTTAAATTGTTGTACAGGAAGAGATGTGTCTAAAACAGCATCTCAAAGTCGAGTGTATTTCTTTGCACACGGGGTCATTTTAATGAATTCCTCTTTCATTCTGATCTTTGTTCAGCCAACAGGAGCACCCTTTTCTAATGTCTTCCATTCCTACCCACCCTGGAAACAAAAAAAAAAATATTATTTGTAGCTTGCTATCTGTATTTGAATTTTTAGCAATTTTATATTTAGATATCTTTGAAAAAATGTAAATGACTAATTTGGTCATTAAATCTTGTGACATATTCAATATTAAAATGATATTAAAATAAAAGTCATATAAAAACACTCTCTTGCATATTGCTTTGAATTCCTGACGTCTTGAGTAGGTGCTGCTGAAGACAATGGCTCTGCAGTGAGGCTTCGGGGTGTCGGCATTTGCTGGCAGTTGGACCCAGCATCCCCGAAGCGTGCCAGGGCCCCTGTGGTCCTGCTCAGGACAGAGTGGCCTGTTCGCTCTAGGGTGATGCTGGAGTCATCACCTCCTGCAGTCACAAAATCAGCACTGAGGCCATTCTCTCCGGTGAAATGTGACATGCTCAGTTCACACAGAACACACATGTCCAGGTTAAGGGGTCATTTAAAGGGGACAGGGCAGCACTGCCCAGGTCCAGCAAATATCAAGACTCTAAATTGGCGTTTTCCTCAGCTGCCATCCCAGCCCATCCCTGGGTTCTAGACCGGGAGGGAGCGCCTCGGCGTCTCGAACCTTCCCCGTGCCGGCCTGGGCAAAGCACGAGCTCCGCGCCTTCCCATTGACGTGACTGACGGGCCCCACTGCCGCCTTCTACCAACGCAGACCCCACCCCATGTGACACAGAGTCACAGTGTTGATGATTCACGACTCGGCTTCTGAACTCCACTGGGGACTTGACAAAGTGTGGGCAGCCTGACAGGCCTGGGCAGTGGGTCCCTGCAGCCCCAGCTGGCCACTGAGAATGGCCCCTGTCTTCCAAGGGCCACTGCGCACCAAGCAGGCTGCGTGTCAGCCACAGGCTCCCACAGACAGCCCTGGCAGGGCCCGTCCGTGTCTCCGTCCCGGAGGTGAGCACTCGGAGCTGGAAGGGTCACCACACTGGCCCCGGGCACACCGTGGGGCACTGGCAGACCCGGCAGCCCTGCTCCTAACCTGGGCTCTGCCCTCCACAGTTGGTGGCCACGTGGCTCTGAGCTGGTCACCGCCTCTTGGGTCCTCAGTTTCCTGATCTGAAAGTGAAGGTGCCGCCTTAGATGACCCCTGTAGACCCTTTTAGGGATGTCGTACGTGCCTCAGAATCACGGGGAGCCCAGCCTGCCTTCCAGTGGTTTCTGTTTGCCTAGCAGGAGCTTCTCTGCTTCTGAAGGGTTCTAGGAGCTGAGAAGGCTGCAAGTCACTTAGTCCAACCTCCTCCCCCGGGACAGTAAGTACATCCATCCGGGCACCCCGGAAATCACGGGTGTGACCATGTTACACACCCCACACCCTAACAGACAGCAGTCTCTATGCTTTCCTCGGGGCCTGCCTCCTGCCTCCTATTCAGCTGTCGCCTAATGTTAGTTAGTATTTCACTAACCATTTATCAGTCTAATTATACAGATGAGGAAACTGAGGCAAGAGAAACAAAGTCCCTCACCCAGGGCCATGCAATCGGGAAGTGGCAGAGAAGGCCCCAGGTCTGCTCTCTGGCCTCCCAGCCCCCTCCCCTCCTCCAGCTGTCCCCCGGCCTTGCCGGCCCACATGGCACAGACAGGCCAACGGCCCTGCGCAGGCCCCGCTCAGAGGCCCTGCTGCTTGGAAAGCAGCCAAGGAGAGGGGAAGGGTTAACCTGTCACGTCGTGTTCTCACCAAACACCTCTGCTTAAATGCACGGTCCCACCAGGGCGGTGTTCTGGATAAAAGCCCTGGGAGTGATTTGTGAAGTCTCGAGGCCCGGTAATCTCGTCAGCGTAATGGGATTATATTTCAAATCGCCGCGGCCTGTTCATTACCCGTTTAAACTCCTCTGACAGAGGAAAAGTTGCATGAGCGCGCGGCAGCCCTTGCCGCCGTCCCGCTCTCCTTCCTGATTAGACAAACAGATGCTGAGGTCTGGAATGAAAAAATAATGTGCCCATTTATTCATTTTTCTGACAAGTCACAATAGATTTTTAACTGCCAATGAGTGACCTCCCGGAGGTGCGGCGGCCGGGAGGTGCCCGCCAGGCAGCAAGTGGTCATTTCCGCCCGGCCCGCCGGCCTGCCTGGCCGGTCCCCTGGGACGCGGCCGCGGCCGAGCCCCTCCTCGCCAGCGGCACGTGCGGCGGGCGGGGCAGAGCTGCCCGCGGGGCCTGCAGGGATCCTGGCCCTGCCCCTGGCCTGTAGCTGCGTGCTCAGGATACCTTCTTTAATTGCTCTGAGCCTCAGTTTCCCCATCTGTAAAACAGAGAGAGTGAGCAGGCCCGTCTCTGTGGTGAGGGCTCAGTGGTGTGGCTTGTGCTCAGCTCCCACTTGGGTCCACTAGGGCGACCGTCCTATCAGCACCCCTGGCTGCGACCACCAAGTGCCAGGCCCTCCCCCCCCCACCTCTGGTGCAGTTGGGCTTGGCAGATGGGATAGTCACCCGCTGGCCACAGGGTCTCAGCCCAGGGCCTCTCGAGCTCCGCTCTGTGCCAGTGCCTGGAGCAGAGGTGGGCTGGGGGCGGACAGCTGGGTCAGGGACCCCTGGGCTCACGAAGACTCAGGAAGATTCCTGACCCCGGAGCCAGGCCAGGCAGCTGGCTGCTAACTAGCGGGGTCCCGGTAGGACCACAAAGGACAGTCTCCACTTCGTCTTACATTCTAGGCCCCTCACCCTCTCCCAGGACCCTTGAGCTCAGCCCTGAACATTCCCAAATCACCACGTGTTTGTTCACACAGTGCCCACCTCCCCACCCTGCTGTGCAAATCCGCAGAAGGAATGAAAACCCACCTCCATGCTGTGTGACCCAGGCTCATGGTTCAATCTCTCTGAGCCACTTGCTCTCCTGCACACTGAGGCAGAGTCCCTCCTTCCTCAGGGGTTGCCTGAGGAGTAAATAAGATAATGTGCTCAGGCCTGGCACGCAGTAGGGATCGGTGACAGCCACGGAGCTGTGTCTCCCGGTCCTGTACTCACTGGGGACACGTGGGCCAAGGCAGGACCTCAGGCTCCCGAGGACAGCCCCAGCCCCCAGGGAAGCCCGGGGGCCCAGGCGGGGCCTGCACCCTCCCTCCCGGGGCCCCACCAGCTGCCTCTCCCCTCCTCACCCCGCCGCCTTGCCGCATAGCCCCAGGCAGGGCTCACATCTTTATGCATCAACTCTGTGAATACAGAAGAAATACTGTGAGGCTAATTCTTTTTAAAATGATAAAATTTGTCTACATTATAGCATTCCAGCCCCCAGCTTCCTGAAAGCTAAAAATATTTTAATGTCATATTTCCATGTAAATTTTAGTTTAGAATTTAATACCCTTTTAACATACATTAAATTTTTAGCGTTCTTCAAGCCCTTGACTATTTTAAGGGCTTAGCTGATGTGCGTTGGAGAAAAGGGCTGGGGGAGGCTGTAAATTAGAAGAGAAAGTTCCAGAAGCCAGATCACCCCAAACCTCTGTGCCCACCTCATTTCGGAAGTTACTCCTCTGGCCAAACCCAGGAATCCTGGGGAAGTGTCAGACATCTTGGTTTCCCTACTAGAAAAGGTGGCTATGCTTGGTGGCTTCCCTGGGTGACCGGAGGATTCGTCACAGCAGCCGGGCTTGGGAGGCCCCAGGAGGGCCCAGGGGCTGGGACCACGGGCCCTGCATACAGATGGCCTGGGTTCAGATCCTAGCTCCGCCACACACCAGCGGGCGACAATGCCGTCGTGTTTATCAGCCAATTTCCTGGCCCCTAGATGGGACCAAGGTTAAGGTTCACGCACAGGTGATGCTTTGAGTGAACACTCGGGAAAGGGGGAGGTCGTCAGCGCCACGGAGGCGGCGACCTCCAGGGTGAGCCGGCCGGCCTTGCTAAGGGGGCCCGTGGTGACAGGTGAGCGCTAGGGCTGGCAGCGAGGCAGAGAGGGGGCCCGGCAGGACCGGGTTAACATGGGGAGGTGTCAGAGGGGCCAGGGCCGCCGGACCCGCGGGCAGGATCTAAGCGGTGCTGTTAGTTGCCCCGCTGGACTTGGAGCCTGGGTTTGCCGTGCCCACTACACAGCCCAAATGCTCGCGACGGCTGGAACTCGCCCGGTCTGAGCTTGTGGGCCGGAGAAGCCTCGCCGGGTACTGGCCCAGCATTTGTGTGACGGACTGCAGCCCTGCCAGCTCCTGACACCTCAGCCGCCCGGCGGGGCAGGGACCGCAGGGCGTCTGTGTGAAGCCCCTCGATCGGCCTGCGAGTCGCAGCCCCCCGCTGGCTCCCCGCAGCCCCCCTGGGGTCAGGAAAGGAGGATTTTGGCTCAGCGGGAGGCACTTGTGTGTCACTGCCTAGGAGGCTTGAGGGGCCCTGAGTGGCCCCCGAGACACGGAGACCCACCTTTCCTCTGTGGGTGACGTGCCTGTCACCCACAGCCGGAGCTCCCAGGGCCACCCTGCACCGCCTGGACCACCCTCCGCTGCACCGTCCGAGTCCCGGCCTTGCCTCTCCTGAGAAGGGCAGGGGGCGCGGGACAGTTCCAGGCTCCACAGTCTCAGGCGGCTTCTCCCAAATACCACGCACGCTGTCCCAGGCCGGGTCCCCACTGGCCTGGCAGGGGACACATGCCGTCCCTGGGAGTGTCCCTGTGGGGACGAGCAGCTGTGATGGGCAGCCCCTGCGCGCCTGCGGGCTCAGGGAAGGGCAGTTGCACAGGGAGGGCCGGGAGGTCGGGCCTGGCCGGCAGTCCCTGCAAGCCCGGCGGTGCTGGATGCCTTCTCCAAAGTCCCCGGCACCGGCTCTCGGCACCATCCGCTCCGACCAGACCCGAGGGCCGCCGGAGCTGGGCCCAGCGCAGAGGGGCTCTCGTGGGACCCAGACCTGCCTGTGACTCCAGTCCCCACACGGCCACCTGCCTGCGTCTGCGAGCGTGTGCAATGTGTGTATGTGCGCGTGTCTCTGCAAGTACATGCACGTGCCTGCGTGTGCGTGTCTGCGAGTGTGTGCACGTGCCTGTGTGTGTGTCTGTGAGTGTGTGCAGGTGTCTGAGTGTATGCATCCACACATGCGTGTGTTTTGTGTCTGCCCGAGTGTGTGTGTCTATGTCATGAGTTTGAGTGCATGAGTATGTGTGCGCGTGTCTGTAAACTCAATGTGCGTGCACATGCATGTGTGTGCGTGTGCACGTGCGTGCACGTGTGAGTTTAACCCCCGCCGCCCCCCACACCCGCGCCTGGCGGGGCCGGGCTGAGGCGTCCGCTCTCCGAGGAGGCCATGGGTCCCTAAGCAGCCCCTCCCCCACAGCCCAACAGCTGCCACCACCCCGGCACACATTCCCCTGTCACATCTGATTTGCACAGTCGTGCCTGTGACAGGCCCACAGGAGCGTCCAGTCGGGGCTTTCTCAGGTCAAGGAGTTTTTTCCAGAGTCTCTGGTTCTTCAGAAGAGAAAAGAATGTGAACAGCCCTCTGTCCCCGTCCCCAGGCCAGCACCGCCACCAGGGGAGTCTTCCTCTGGGCCGCCCTGGGCTGGAGGGTCCCCCGAGGGCCTGTCATGACCCCACTTTACAGATGAGGACATCAAGGCTCGGAGGAGTCCTGCTGTTTTCCTGAGCCCACAGCTGCTCGGTGTGGAGCTAGGACCTGACTGGCCTCTCTGGCCATCCTCCCGAGGCTTGCTTGTCACTGTCACTATCCACAGCCTCCCTACAGATGCCTGAGCTGGGCTGTCCCCACTGGCCTGACTGCAGGACCTCCTCCTCCAGGAAGCCGCCAAGCTGGCACGCCTACCTCAGCCCCTTGGGGCCCCTACCTGCTGCCAACTGAAGCTCCCAGTCTCCGGGCACCTGGGGCAGGGCCTGCCAGAGCTGGGTGGCTTTGACCCCTGACTTCATCACCTTAGTCAAGGCACCACAGGAACCCGCTGGCCCGACCGTCCAGGGCCAAGCCACACTCCCCTTCTCTGAGGGCTGGGTTGCCCGTCACCCCTCCTTCTCTCTTTCTTGTCACCCTGGTGGTGAGGATGCCCGTGGCCACCAGACTGAAGACCACCAGGCCTCCTGGGGCCTGCCCCTGACTGTCACTGCTCCACCCTGAGCACTGACTCCCAGTAGAGACAGCCCTGGCTGGGCCGAGGAGCCCGGGCTGCAGTGCAGGGCCGTGTCGTCTGCCACAGGAAGTCAGGAGCATTCCGGCGGGTGGCCGTCAGCCTCCTCCACTTGCCTTCCTGCCCCAGGGCTCTCTCCTAGGGTGACACCCCCAGGAAGCAGCCTACACAGACTGTCCACTCCCCGAGGGCAGGGACCTCCTTTGCCTCCTTTGCTCAGTCAGCACCCAGCATGTACTACGTGCTCAGTAAATATTTTCAAATGAATGGGAGGAACATTAAAGTGTACCTGGTCCAGAAAAGGCTTCCATGGCCACGTGGTTTGGGAAACGCTCTGCCCCACCCCGTCTGTGTGACACTAGGCCAGTCGCTTCACCTCTCTGTGCCTCAGTCTCCTCCTCTGTAAAACAGGCCAATAATCCCTCCTCTTCAGGGTCGTGAGAAGTAAATGCGGGAGTAGTTGGGAGAGAGATGTCTGAGGTGGAGCCAACTTTGTGTCTGTGTGTGTTCAGAGGGGGACAGAGAAACCTAGGAGATGGCGACCTAGAAGCAGAAGCCCTAGGCCGAAGATGAGGCGCTAGGGCCCAGCACCGTGGCCGGCATGTAACACGCGCTCAGTACACATTTGCAGAACAAATTGTTACCGCCTGCTGGTGCAGCCAACCAGCTTGGGACACAGACAGGGCCACAGAGCAGAGGGCTGGACCCAGGGTGCCCTTGGGCAGCCAGTAGGAAAGCAGGGACAGATGCAGCCTAGACCCACTCTCCAGCTCTGGAGCTCAGTGTGGGCACGCGAGCCTGGGTCCAGGCAGCCCAGGCAACGACCACATCAGTCAAGATGGCCGCACCGTCCTTGGGAACGACTGCCACATTGCTAAGATGGCCGCCTCAGCAGCCAAGATGGCTGCCTCGTGGGCCCCAAGGCAGGGCCTGCTGGGTAGCAAGAGCCCCACTGCAACTGGATTCACAACAGAACAAATGAATTATTGAACCGTGTCAAGATGCCAAATAGGGTGACTCAAAACCCAGGGCAGCCCAAATGCTCCAAGGAATGAGAGGAAACCAGTCAGCGCATCCCTGTGCCCCTGAGAATGCTGGGTAATTGCTTTTTCTCCTTTGTCTTTTTGTTTGCTTTTAGCAGAACCACCAAGAAGCAGCCACAAAAATCAGTTAAAACTTCCAAAGTGCTTCTTTCTCCAGAAATCTTTTATAAAAGGTGAAAGATTTACAAGACCTGAAGAGCAAACCAAGCAGGATAATTGTTTTTGGAATGACCCCAATATTTTCACCCTGGCGACCCCGGCTGGGCATCTTGCCCCATATTTATGATTCCTGGTCCTCTGCGCGCTGCTGGGCGACCTTTCTGAGCCCCCTGTGCGAGCCCCCAGTCCCTTATCGGGCCTGTAACTCACCCTGACGTTATCTCTCGGGAGGGTTTTATGCACTTTAATTTAACTCCCCTCATCATTATTTCCCGGACTTCAAGGTTTTCTCTTTCGAGCTGCCCTTCCCGGGACAAGCATAATCTGTTTGCCATCAAGCCCAATAAATATGTTTGTGCGGGAGACGAGAATCGTTTGGGGAGAGTGGCTCGGGCCTGGGAAGCAGCCTCTGGCTCTTACCTGCTTCTGGGCTTCCAGGCTGGTCTTTGTGTCCTTGAACCTCTGTGGAGGTGGGAGCCACTGCCTTGCAGCTCAGGCCTGGTGGCCCGTGCAGCAAATGCAAATCCAGGGCTCCCATTAAATTAGAATTTCAGACACACAATGCATTTTTCTCAGCATAAGGATGTCCCATGCAATGTATGCTAAAAAATCACTCATTGTTTGTCTGAAATTTAAATTTAATTGGGTGTCTTGGATTTTCAGTGGCATCAGCTCCTAAGGGCTGCCCCACCCACCCCTCCAAATGCAGATTAATATGTTGGGGGCGTATCCACCTGCTAGGGCTGCCATAACAAAGCCCCAAAGACCAGGTGGCTTAAACAAAAGAAATTTATTTTCTCACAGTTCTGGAAGCTGGAAGTCCCACACGGAGGCGCTGGTTTCACCTGAGGCCTCTGTCCTTGGCTTGGGGGATGGCCATCTTCTCCCTGTGTCCTCACGTCATCTTCCCTGTGTGTGTCCGTGTCCTAATTTCCTCTTCTCAAGGACACCAGGCAGACTGGATTAGGGCCCACCCTAATGACCTCATTTTAACTTAATTACTTCCCTAAAAGCCCTATCTCTAAACACAGTCCCATTCTGAGGTAGTGGAGGTTGGAGCTTCAACATAAGAATTTGGGGGTGCCGGGGTGGACGCAATTCGGCCCATAACAGGGGGATTTAACCATCTCCCACCGGAAAGCTCCAGAGTCTGGGGCCCACGGCAGGGCAGCCCGTTCTGTCGGGACACCTTCGGTTTCTAGGGCTCGGGTCATCAGCTCAGAGAGGCCCACGATAAATCATCGCATAGGTCAGGTGCCACCCACGCTGTCTCCTGACTCGCCGCTGTGTGTAGCAACACCGAGGGGCCCCAGCAGCTCTGCAGGGCAGGTGTGATCAGCCGAGTGGTACAGAAGAGGCGTGAGGCACAGAGAGGCACGGTAGCAGCCCTAGGCCACACAGCCAACCAGGGGCAGTGCAGTGCCGGGTTTACCAGCAGTCTCAGGACTCTTCCTCCTCCACCCCCACCCCACTGGTTAAGCCTCAGTCCCCTCAGGACCCAGGTCAGCCAGCTGCACCTGTGCAGCCAACACGAACCCCTTTCGCAGGACACCACACGGCCTAACAGCCACGCGCGAGCCAAGGCAGGCGACAGGGTTCACAGCCGGACAGGCCGTGGCAGGAGCCTCCCGCAGGAAGAGGCCCGGGCCCTCCTGCCCTGCCATCCCGGAGGGTTTTCTGGGAGAGCAGGTCACAGTCAGACGCTCCAGAGGGAGACAGACCTGAGTTCAAATCCCTGCCCGGCGACTTCGTGGCCCCTGATCTCAGCACTTCCCATCGCCACCCTGGCCGTGTCCTCAGCTGCAAGGTGCCTGAGGCAGGACGAGACCGGACAAATTCACTAAGACGTGTCCCTCTGGAGTGTCCGAATGCTCCTCCACCCTGCGCCATGCTCCCTGTGCAAACACGGTGCTGGCGGGCTCTGGGACTGCCCCGCGCCTTGGGGGCAGGTAGCACTCCTGGCCTGTGCCCCGGCCCTCTCAATCCATTAGAGCAAATCCCGGGGGCATTTTCTAGCCACCACCACCTCCCACCACGCCTGCCTCTAGGCAGAGGGGCCCCAGGAAAGACAGACGTCCCCCCAACCCGACCCCCAGCGGGGCGAGCCTGACAGGAGGCCCCGCTCGGTCACTAGGCAAAGCAGCGGCTCCACCCACGCCCAGCAGAGCCGGGGAGGCCCCTGCGGGAGGGTGGGCGGAGCAGGGCAAGGAGCCGGGGAAGGGCTGAGCCCGATGGCGACTGGCCTGGCACGGCCCAGGGCACCCCTGGCCCCAACACGCTGTGCATCTCGCCCGGGCGGAGCCCCAGGCCCATCCAGGCTGGGAGGACGAGGGACGCACTGTCGCCCATGCACCCCCTGCCGTCGCGCCAGTTTGCATCTGACAGAGGAGGACGGAGGCGGCCAGAGCCGCCTTAGGGCTGAGCCGCGTGGCCCTGGCGAGCTGCCTCTCCAGTCTCTGCTTCCTCCCACGTGACACAGGGACAGCGGTCTTCTCTCCTGAGGAAATTACGCTCGTAAAAATCGAGCCGTCAGTGACGATGATTAGACTCCCAAGCGCCCCGGTTTGCAGTGAGGGTAAAGCACCCACTCCCCACTCACCCCTGAGGCTCTGGAGACTCCACCACGGATCGCGGGATCGAGCCATTGGGCCGCATTGTGTTTTGGGACATTTCGTCTGTAGAATCTCTAGAAATGATCATTATTGGATTTCTAATGTAACATAACATGTGCCCGGGACCACGGCAAGTTTCCTGTATATAGCATATTGTTATTGACTGTAGTTACCATGTCGGACAATAGATCTTTTTTTTTCTTCTTTTTTTTTTTTTTATAGACAAGGTCTCGCTCTGTTGCTCTAGCTCACTGCAGCCTCGAACTCCTGGGCTCGAGCAGTCCTCCCGCCTCAGCCTCCCACGTAGCTGTAACTATAGGCATGCAAGCACCACCATGGCCGGCTAATTGTTCTTATTTTGTATAGTTTTGTAGAAACGGGGTCTCGCTATGTTGCCCAGGCTGGTCTCTAACTCCTGGCCTCAAGCAACCCACCCGACTCAGCCTCCCAAAGTGCTGGGACTACAGGCATGAGCCACCTTGCCCGGCCCCTTTGCCCATTTTTTAAATCGGGTTATTTCCTTGCTACTGAGTTGTCGGAGTCCCTAATATATTTGGATATTAACCCTTTATCTGATGTATGATTTGCAAATATTTCCTCTCGCTGTGGGGGTTGTCTCTGCCACTTGTTTCCTTTGCTGTGCGGAAGGCTTTAGTTCGATGCCATCCCGTTTGTCCATTTTTGCTTCTGTTGCCTGTGCTTTTGGGATCACATCAAAAATATCTTTGCACAGACCATGTTTACGTGTTTCCTAAGAGCATTGCCCCCCATCAAACTACCCCACTGTCCTGCCGTTTCCCCGCCGGGCTCTGAGCTCAGTTGGGGCAGGGACTGGGTCTGGCCAGCTCGGCCTCCTGCCCCCAGTGCTTGGAACACTGCCCGAAACAGGGCCCATTTTTTAAACATGCGTAACATTTGTTGAATGTGTGCAATCAGCACAGAATCACTCTCACTCACTGTGCTGAGTGCCAGCAGTAAAGAAGCACATTACACCCCTGACAAAAGGCGCCCATGGGGACCTCCCTGAATTCACACTCCAGAAGAAGCCAGGCTCGGGGGAGCACGAACCGTTCCACAAGGTGCAGGAACAGGCGAGACTGCTCCGTGGTGCCAGACGCCAGGGCCGCCGTCCCATCTGGGCAGTGGTCGCGCCTGTGACAGAATTCATTGAGCTCTGCACTTAAGAGCTGGACCTTACACGAGGACAGTTATACCCCCAAAATTCAAAAGTTAGGAGAAATAAAAATAATTGTTAAGTACATCTGAATCACACGAACCCACACATAGTATTAAAATGCACAAAGCCACAGCCACAGAAATGAAAGCGGGTAAAACCTGGTGAAATCTGAATCAGGCCGTTGACAGTATCGTACCAATGTCAACTTCCTCGTTTCCATATTGTGCCAGAGTCGTGCAAAATGTTACCTCGGGGGGAAGAGTACCCAGGATTTTCCATACTATTTTTGCAGGTTCCTGAAAGTTTATAATTACTTCAAAATAGAAAGGCTTTTTTTTTAACTTAAAAACTACAAATATATTTAAGAAATCAGAACCAAATCTTTA